GCAAAGAGAAATTGACGAAGCGAAGAAAAGTGTTTCTACAGAAGGATGATCAAAGGACATTTGTAGGTGGAGTGTCATGAGAAATCTTTCAGCCACGAATCACGAAATTCTAGCGGAGATTGTGAATAATTGTGAAATGAAGATTTAGTATAATTTATATACCTTATGAATAAACACGCAATTATGAAAGAAACATGGTAGCATTTTTGTAAAATTAAAACATGTGTGAAGCATTTAAATATCATGTGGAAGAAAAATTAATTAATTCAATATAATATTTTGTTTTATGTGAATTCAGATTTTTAAAGTTACTTTTGCTGATATCTAATAATATATTGATAAAAAGAAAATCTGAGGAAAATATTGGGGTCTCATAACGATTTTTATTGTGACATACAATTCCTAACGCTTCGTTGAAAATGAAAGGTCCTTGCATGCATTAAATCCGACTTTCACCCGGATGAGATCCGAATTCCGTATTTCAATAATTTCAATACCGGTTGATGACTATTAACATTTTTAAAGTTGTTGAATTATTAGTTGGGAAATGATTTACGAAAAAAAATAGGAGTTATCTAAATTAGAGTCTTATGTCACGAATATCATCAATATTCGCCTTGGTTACTGTTATGAAGCGGAAGTGATAATTCGTTCGTTTGTTCACATCGATTTTTCATGCTTTGATAATTACTTTTAAAGAGATTTAAAAAACAATTTGGCAATCGAATTATTCTTTCTAAGTTTTTTTCCGTTTATTATATCAATAATTTTATTAACGTCCTTTGCTCATGTTTGTTTAGTTAGTTAAAATTTAATGTGTTACATATAATTGCAGACACACAATAAATAATGCATGTTTATTTGAATATTGATCATTAACATAATACACTTAATTGTGACTCGTTTCTCCTTATCTTATGTATAACTTCAAGCTATATATTCTACAATATATAATATATTTTAATAAGCTGGAAATATAAATAACATCTTGATCCACTGATTTCACTCAACAATTCTCTCTTATTCATAATTATGATTTTATATGTAATTTATTTTACAATTTAATTTATATCAAAGATTATATTAAAAGTAATCTGAATATGAAATGAAAAATAACAAAACATATCGATAATCTTATAATTATTTATGTACGTTATTCATAACAATATGATAATTAATTACAATATTGTATTATTAAATACTGTATGTTTAGTTCTTTCGGATTTCATGTCATTTATTTTGTTTTGTGTATTTACTTTGCTTTGAAGGTGCTTATCATAATTAATATGCATTATATCTTCACTGTTGCATCGTAAAATTTTCTATTACTTTGTTATTTACCGATTTTTTTATTAGAATATTACTAACATTATAAATTTCAATTTTTCGTAAAATATGTAAAGTTTTTTTGTTTAGAACGGCATCAATATATATATAATATGACAAGTAAAGTCTTTTAAAACTTAAATAATATTCCAAGTTTAACAACGCGTGTTGTAGAGAATATTCGATATTAAAATTCTCATGTAAATAATGAAATTTGTGAACATATCTTCAGTTTTGTATAATACAGTTATTATCATCAGTACAATACAGTAATTATCATTATTTACAGTTATTATCAATATTCTTTTTAAATAATTTTTCATTAGTTTAAATTTTTTTTTTGATGATCTTACGTATGTACTACACACGAATCAAACGTAATATTATCTATCGGCGGTAATAATAATAATTCGATAGCAAGGAGGTATCTCTGTCTTATCGATTTTTAATTGAAATGCGATCAGTCTATATGTCAGATCAGATCAAATGAAAGTTCAATCTGGCCTGAAGAAATAAGGAAGAAGGAAGGAATAAGGTAAATGATATTTATTATAAAAATAAATAATAATTACTTGAATTAATTTTATATACAGATTTTGTTTTATACTTTTTTTATTATGAATGTCAACATATCACTACATTGATGATTCAATAGTGACAAAAATAGTAATAATAGTAACAATAATAATAATAATACGATATCAATGAGTATGATAACAATAATATTCAACGCTTATATGGACATATGTAGCGGACATTCCCGAGACAGCGGATATCCTCTAGACATTTAATGGATGTCCTTAGGACATCTTATCTTATCTTCGACATGTCTTATTTAATGTAAAGAACATCAGAGCTCGAATTTCAAATGTATATTCATGATGTATATCAGAAATATATTAAATATATGTAATATTGAACTTTGTGATCCAGAGTTCCGAATATGTCTTATAGACATCTTACCGCAGCTATGCTAAAAGCAGAATACTCTTCGGACATTCTTATGGACATTCAAGATATCAGAACATAACTAGGACTTTTGAGGACATACAATGGACATATAACGTACATCATACCAAACATACATCTATGTGTTGTGTGGGATATGATTTATTTTAGAAAAGAACCTGGTTTTGAGGGTCAAAATTTTCGATTTTTTTTTTCTTTAATCAGTAATATTATTCTCAGAAAATATATCAAGTTTTAGACCGAAATGCTTTTGTAGTTACAGCTTGAGGTACGCGTCGCGCAGATATATAGCGCGCGTGGCGTCCATTGTGCTTCGATACTCGGTTCCTAGCTTGGCATTATTGATCTTTAGCAGAGAAAGTATACGCAAAACTCAAACGAGAATTTTAATTTCACCATTTGACGCATCATTCCGAAACACTTATTCTGGCGCAAAAATGATCGAAATCGCCACCTTCGTTGCCGTATGTCATGTGCCTTCAATGAAAGGCATTCTGGCATTTTAAAGATAATGCAATTGCTAGAAATAAATATTCGCCAACATTGTAAAATATTACCCGACAATTACGACGAGCAGCGAGTTACGAGGCAGAAACGATATCGATAAGCATGAAAGAGGCTTGTACAATTCGGAGATTGCAAATAACGCGATAAAACGAGTTTTATGAAGAAGCGGAAGATTTGCTGTAGGCAAAGAGATAGCAGATTAACGATAAATTGCCAAAAAGTACTATTTTTAGATAACGAAAACTTTAAAAGTATTTTTCTCAAAACTACTTTTCCGAAATTGGTGCAAGATTATTCAAAAACTATTCGATCAATTAACTTTCTGTAAAGCTTTTTGGTTATATATAATTGTTAATCCTCTTGGATGAATTAAAAATGTTTATTAAAAAATTAATCTAAACGATTATTTCTGCATAAATAAATCGAAATTTTTAATTCAAAATCGTTACTTTTTTTCAAAATTCCATGATTCTTACAATTTGATACTTTTCTCCTATTTTTTTAATTCATCAAGGATAAAATATTATTTAATTTAAAAAATTTTTTGTTTCAGGCAAGAATTACGGGTTCCAAATTGCACGCCAATTGACAAACTTCGGCATTGAAGCACAATATCAATTAATAAATAACTTTTTATTACAGTCATTATTTATTTATTAAAAAATTATTTTGTATTTTTCAAATAAACAGTAAATCACCTAAAGCTTTGGAAATATCCAGCTTCATGGTTCGTTCATAAAATATTCGCAAAGAAACACAGCTTTCAGCGTTCTAAACTAGATTCCCCCCTTTGGCTGAATGTATTGTAGAACATTGATCTTCCATTTGTCGGAGCTAATATGTTCTACCATAAGTACCATTCACGTTTTTTTATTAATAAACAATTAATAAACAAATTAGCTCGACAATTTTTAAATAGTTTATTTTATGTATAGAAGATATAAGCGAATAAAATTATCCATCCATTTTGAAAATATTGCGCAGTTTCTATTCTTCTGTTACGAAAACTGTATATACGATTGTGATACACATCTTACAGAATTTTAACTACTGACGCATCGAAGCAGCGAATAAATATAAAATACAAATCAATAACTTCACTGACCCGCAAATTCTCTCATGAGAATAGGGTACATACGTATAAACAAAGTATAAATTGCGATAATCTGTAACTGTAATTAGGATGTATAAATGCAATGTTCTGCAAAATATGATTGAAAAAATGCGTTCTTCTGCTACTGCATTGTGTAACGTCTTATGTTACATTCAAATTTTTGTAGATCTGAAGATGTAATTGGAGATTAACGGATTCATTAGTTTTGCATTTTTTTCAATTTAGAACTTAAAATAATCAAGAATTTATAAATCCAAAAATTTTGTAAAATTATTTAAATGCCATAGATGCAATTGTCCGTAAATCTGAGACTTGATAAAGCTATATGTCCATAACTCTTGAAACCCGTATGTCTAAGAATGACTGACTAGATCAAAAGCACAGGAAAATAAAACGAATTGTAATCACTATTCGACGCGCTAAATGCGCATAATCTCGCGGAAACATTTGCAAACTTACGATTGCAAATAATTAATTTTTGTAAAGAACACTATATCCAAACGCTAACAGCTACGTAATAGTAGATATATTTGTCATTCGTTATTAACACTTTGTGCTCGAGATGTAAAGTAAGAGTTTATTTAAAACTCATTAATTTGTGAAATATTAATCTTTTCACTTCCGATTTAATATAAGGCATATAAAATATCCTCAAAATGTAATTTACGAAAAAATTACGGTCTTTATTTTTAAATTAAAAATATATAAAATGACAGAGTATCTTTATTTTTACATTGTTTTGTAATATTTTATACAGTAATAGTCGAGCAAAATTATAATTTTTCGTCGTTATATTTTCAGATGATACTCGAGTGCAAAATGTTAATATTAAAAAAATTGTGCTATATGATAGTTAGTGCTATAGATAGCATAATGGTAAATGTGTCTGTAACGTTGACAAGTTGAAATTATTGTACGCTAAAAATACAATCAATACAAGTTAATTATATTCATAAACGACAAAATGATAATTTGCAAATATTTCTTTAGGTCTTAAGATCCGAGACTTTTGCGTTTTAGAGAAATGCATGTTCGCACGTTTGTCATTTAGAAATCCAAAGATTCAAGAAAATCTTTTAAATAATTTAAGCATTCCAATCATTTATTATAAGATAAAAATTCGATACTGGAAGTGTTTTGATACTAAAACATTCATAAAGTTTAAAAATTCTTGAATTCGATAATTAATTATAACAGCGTCATTCATGTCTCGATAAAATCTAAAAATTCATGGGATATAAAAGAAAGAAACGAAGGATCGATCGATCTCCGTAAGATCAGTAATAGGTCCGTGATAATTAAGTACAGATATAAATCACTAGTGACATTTACAAAAGATACAAGCGGATCATTGACTTATAATCCGCGACACTTGTTATCACACAGCTCGCATTATCACTGTACAAAATATTGATTCTACTTCTAATTCGTGCAAAGTCTTGAGCAATTTTCGTCGAGAGAATACGAAAGTCGGAACCGTCTCTCCGTCGTCTTCCGTCGCGAAATAGACTGCTCTCGCTTGGGAAATGACTTAAACGTTCAAGTCCTCCCAATCCTCGATTTGCCGAGGAGTAAGTTCGATTGTAATCCTGGTCAGAGTGCCTAGAAGATCGTGCAATCTCGGCGGAAGAGGATTCGCTTGCAGGTCGATGAATTCTAGAACAGGTGCATGCCTAAGTCTCTCGACGTCAACATCTAGAATAAAATCAACAATGTTATTGTTAAGTCATTTTAAAAAAATTTATTGATTCAGATAATTTGAAAATTGTTTTTTTACTTTGATCGTGATGGAAATGCAGTAATTAGCATAAAAAACTTTTTTTTTTCGATTTGCAGTATCAGGAATCAAAATAATTTCAGTCCTTGTAATACATTTGATATTGATATTTCTTATGCATATCTAAAGTTCTTATGCATATTCTAAATTTTAATAACTACATTATTTTTGTGTGTATGTGGATATTTTCCTAAAAATGAATACATCTACTCCTCATTCAGAGAGGAGTAGATGTATTATACCCATTAATTGTTTGAGATACTGATAATACTTATATAATGAAAATCTTACATAATAATAAATTATCGTTACTAACCGATAATAAAATTGTTGTTAGCGAGAAGTCGTTTCAAGTGCGGTATCCGCCAAGCCACAGATGGTAGAGCGATGAAAGTGTTGTGCGAGATATCGAGTCTCTCCAGAGCTTGCAGTTCAGCTAATTCCTCAGGCAGTTTGCTCATCTGATTGTGGCTTAAATTCAGTTCTGCAAATGTATTTTGTTGAATATTGTCGGATTTTAAACAAGAATTTTCTTAAAGATAAATTTTATAAATAGAGAAAAAGACAGCAATCTGAAGCTATTCTATATAGCTTATCGCTCACCAGTAATTAATGAAAATTTCACGGCAAACTTGGCTGGAATTTTTGTGATCACGTTGCCGGAGAGGTCGCATCTCTTCAGCTCCGTGTGCCGCATCAGATGGTAGACTGCGTCTGGGATTTGCATGAGCTGGCACTCCGACAAGTCTAAAAAGTAAAACGAAAGAACGTACAGTTTCCTAGAAAAAAAAAACATATTGTCTTTAAACTATTATTCTCCAAGATTCCGTTAAATTTCTGCCATCTCTTTCTCATTCTTACTCTCTAAATTAATAATGAAATAACAAATTTAGAATTTTAGAATCAAATTTTGAAATAAATATGTTTTAAAATAAAAATTAATTTTTTATTTTTTTCGCCTTTGAAAGGAAGACTAATTGCATATCCTTCATAAATACTGAAAGTGAAGGCCATTGTTCTGCGATTTTACATCTTTCAAAATATATCCTATTATTCATCATTATATAAACGTCCCTCTTTCTTAATACTCATTCGATTTTACTTTTGAAATATATCCTATTATAATCATTATATAATGTCCCTCTCTTTTAATATTCAATAATAATTTTTTTAAATATTAACATTCTAGTGAAAAAATATTAGCTGAAATAATTAACTCTTTTCCAAAATAAAATAAAATTTTTAATATATCAAAAGAGAATTAAGACCAAAATAAATTTTTATTCTTCCAATGTCTTATCTCAAAGTCTAATTTGGCGCACGAATAGAATTTTTTACGATTAACGTTTAACTTTTATACGATTAAAGTTAAACAAAACATATGAACAGAGAATATTGAGAGCGAGAGATTTTCTCGCTGTTAAATTTTGATAGCATTAGTTAAGTTGTAATAATAAAATTGTAAAAGTGTTCCGTCACTTGAAAAAAAATGGGAAAACGCCAATCTAAGCGCATCATAACCGCTGAAAGTGCACTTAACGTCAGTGCACTGCGTTTCACGCTTTCTCTGGCGCGGTTTCCAGTACGGAAGACCGTTCGTCGTTGAAGCTAACTCGAACGCGGGAGCTAAGAACGCATTATGGAACAAATGCATTCTGCATTATATATTTATCAATCATCGCGATCATTATAACATCGGAGCGCACAGTTCCGGGAAGATAACAAACCGCGGAATTGTCCGATTTAGCAATCCATCAAGGAACAATTTAAACATATACTTGTTAACGCTTCGTAAAATCAAACAAAGAATTTCAATAAAATTCCAATAATTGAGAAAAATTGACTTTCTTTATTCTCTACATGTATAACAAAGAACATTTTCTTTTTCTTCGTTTCTTATATCGAAGCTATTACAAAGTTCGATTAAGAGAGGTAAAATTAAGTCTGCTTTTTATTCCCTTACTAGAACTTGCTTCCTTGCTTTCGTCAATCTTTCGTAATAATAATAGATAATAAATAATAAACCTATTTTACTTTATGTTTTAAAAGTTTCACAAATACTTTAAACACTTAAACAAGTAACTCTGATATATACATCTCACAACCTAACAAAAACTTAATTTATTAAGTATTATCTACTATTTTAAGAGATAAACGAACTATATCAAGAAAAACTTTGTACTGTCTACTATGAAAAAAATATTAAAAATCCAAAATACTTATTTTTCGTATTAAAAAAAAGAACTTTTTGAAACCCTTGTATTTATATAGGGATGGAATATACATACTACTCATAGAGAGGGGGGGGGGGATATGTACGACTCATAAAAAATTTACAAATAATAATAAGTAGCTTATAAGTAAAAATGACACACTAACTTATCATTTATAAAAAATGTTTACAAAGTTTTATTAAGGAATAAGAAAAAAAAAGACAAATATATGAATGTATATGAAGTAATAGATAATAATTACAACTTTCTACATATGTATATTACAAGTGTTATTACATAAGATATTTCATGTAATACGTTTATTGTGTGCAGATGCATGCATTTGGTGCACTGAATCCAATCTGTGCACTTTGTATGCTTTGGGCATAAATCTCGCCTGCTAAAAATGTCGTACATCCCAAACAGGTGGTATATACAAGACAACAAACTAAATAAAGAATACAAGAGCAAAGCACTTGTATTTTGCTATACAATATACTTCACTATTCCTCTACACTTATACGAAATAATCACTAAGTTTTTTATGCGCCCTATAATAATTATTTTATGTAGATTATAATTTATAATGGCTACTTATTACAAAGACAAATCGATTCAATTTACAATAATTTCATTAATATTAACAGTAAGAAATTACTGAATTACTGAAATTATAACACAATATTATAATATAACATAAAACTAATATAACATAAATGCATGTAGTAGAGTAGTTGCAGAAAAATTACTCTCACTCCTATTTTTTCTGATTTCTGCAGCGTAAATCCTAACACGGCGTATTTTCCAAAGTTACCCTATAGATACTAGTTTAGTATTATAGAAAAATAGATTTAATGTCATAAAAAATAAAAATTGTTTTGCAAATCTGAGTGTTCTGTTGAATATTGAAATCTCCAAAATCTGATTACGTAAAGAGAAAACTGTACAATGAAATTTGATCGAATTGTAGTCCAGTCGCATTTTTATAATTATTGCTATGATATCTTAGTTGTGCACCAATGCGAAACACGTTATAAAAACACACTGGAAATCTCACTGCGAGAATTCGTTAATAATAATTAGTAACCTTTCTGTTGAATTTTGAAACGCGAGTAAAAGTTATTACACGTACAAAAATTTTGGTCATAATTGTAAGGCCGTAAGCAAATCGACCAATCATATATGCGAGCGTTTTAAAACGTGAGTTCGCAATTTTGATTGTAATTAGTGGATTTGTTTGAGACTTTACAATTATAGCTAAAATTTTTATATATGTAATGACCTTAAATCGAATCAAGAACAATCGCTTTCACCGAAAATTTTGCAATTTACCGAGGTTCTCGTTTTCTTGCGCTTCCTCGCAGCGAAGAATCACTCTTGTTACAGCGTTTGCCATTTTGGCCGTTCGTACTGATTCACCGGCACGGCTCCGACTGCGTTTGAAACATTTATTTCTGTGTGTGCCCGCCGAAATAAGTTCCACCACTTGGCCGTGATATTCATCACGACTCATTCTTAGAAATCAGGTTATTGAGGAGAAAATTGGGAAGGTGCACTTTCCATGACAGCCAAAACGTACGCGCTATATGATTGCGCTAATTGTACACTTTGCACCGATATTATAAGTCGAAGATTTAGAAGATTTATTTCTTGATAAATAAACGTTCGACAAACTTAGTCAACTAAAATTTTAGATATTTTATTCGATGTATAGCAAGGAGACAGGTGTGAAAATAGTTCTCAGATTGCTATTTGTTTGTCATAACATTTCCGGGCAAATTGATTGCTTTTAATCACTTGATCTTGATGCACTTAATTTGGATAAAATCCGATAAAATACATTTTTATGAATCATAATGTTTTTATCGAATATCTTAAACTTGTACAATTATTTCTTCATTCTTATCAAAAATTTTGTGAATTCAAATTTTGAATATTCATTTGATAAGAATCAAGAAATAATCATATAAGTTAAAGATCTCTGATAAAAACATCATGATTCATAAAAATACAGTATATCAAAATTAAACATAGGGCTAAGTAATTCAGAGCAATTAATCTGCCCAATGGCACCATGGTAAACAAATAAATTGACTAATAATAGATAATTAGAGTAATTGAAATATAGTAAAGATAGAAAAAAAACTTAATTTAACACTTTTCTGTGAAAATTATTATATTATGAAAATTTATCCATTAATTCTTTAAACCCATTTTTATTTGAATTCAAAATAATCTTTTTCACAAGCAAGTATTTGGATTATTTATATTGTTGACGCCTTATATAATTCGAGCAAAAGATAAACGAGGATTTGTTCGAGTGCTCGAACAGAGGATTGTATAATTAGTATGAGAATCATTGTGTAATTAGTTAGAAAGTTACTTCTCGCTGTAGCTCCCGCGATTATAATTAATGCGATTGTTTTTCTTTATCAAAAAGTAGTATATAAAAAAGAGCCAATAGCAAGCTACCATTTAAGGTCGTGAAACCCTATACGGAAACTTCTCGCGTCTCGCGACTCGTTTGTACGTTTTGTTTTGAAAAGTTCCTACATTTCTGGATTCGCACAAGATCGTTCTTTCATGCGATGCACGAAAGCCTTAGCTCCGATATCTTCCGATATATCCGATTAAAGTGAAACAACGTTTACGTACAACCGTAATAAAAAAAAGGGATATTTTATAAAAAAGTATATTTTATAAACTCACTTTTTATCTTTATATCTTTATTAGATGCAATACTTAGAGATTTAATAGCTAATTTTTATTCTAATTTAATATCAGTAAATATCAATTTATATATTATATTATCTTTGTCAAGGTATGCAAATTTGTAAAATCACTCTATGAAATCAGAAATCTGTAACTCAGATTTGATCTGGAATTAAGAATCATTGAAAGAGAATCTATCAGAGATTTATTGCCAATGTTACTTTTTGTCATTTTATTTGTATTATAATGAATCTCGCATTTGATATGTCAAACTACATAGTAAAAAGATTTATAAAAAGAAGGAAACGTAGCCTTCTGGCAATATTCGGTGCGCGTAGATCAACATTGCCAAGGCTTTACTATTCCGAGATCGACCTTTCGTGTATGCATTGGGTGTTCCGAAGATACGCACGATCAGTCCGGATACCAGACGAAGATACGATCAGAGGATCACAGCTGTTCCACGAGGTTCACGATGTGAAAAGGAAAGAAACAAAGGCCGGATACGCAGATTGTATAACGCAATGTTTATCCAGTCAATTATCTATGCTGGAGTTGCGAAGCAAACATTTCACTTTTATCCGAGTTGATGCTCGAGAAACGCCACTCATTTATTTATCCATTCTTGCATAATTCCTCCACAAGCGAAATTTCATATATAGTCTCCAATTTTATTAACTATTATAATAACAATTTAATTTGTAAATATCACAAATATTCTACTGATTTTTAATCTGTAAGAAATTTAAATATCTTAAAAATCTTTAAAACACATAAATTATCTTTCCATAACTGTGATTTATTGTTATGGTTATCATTATGATCTGTTTCACAAGTGGTACATTTATAAAAAAATTAAATAAAAAAAAAGAAAGATTTTTTTAGTCATTCATATATTTTTTTATACTGCTCATTATGATATATAATTGTATCTTTTTATGTCTAATGAAATTAATAAAATATCTCTAATGAAATTGCAAAGTAGAACGGAAATGTTCTTCATGTACTATATGATTGCTTTTACGCGATGAATACGTCATTGGCATGATCCATGTACTTTCTACGGAACTATGTTATAAGTTTTTTGCTGAGCTGCAATAGGAAATCATCAATACATTGCGTCTCAACACTCGGCGATTGTAGACTAATTTTTATTAGCTATTCCTTGTTTCTTCTTTCTATTTTTTCAATAATTGTAATGTTACGTGTAAGAAAAACGGATCACAAATCTTGATGAAAGTAGGAGAGTTCGTTAGCCATACAAAGCAAACTGAGTCATCGATAATGCATTAGATAAGATAGATATTATTAACGTGATAATACGCAGAAATGCGTTGTTGCGATCTACCACTTACTACTACTTATTTGCAATATTTTTATTATAATCCGATAATTGATTTACACTGCGAATCTTATATTTATATCGTAAAAATTGCGTTTTATTGATCGTCAGTTTTAGATTTACAGAACTTTCACATGTTCTCCAATCGGATTTCTGATGTTACAGATTTTTAACAAAAAAAATCTTTGTTTCCGTAATCATTAATATCATGAATCTTTGTATACAAACCGTTAGTATCAGATCTTTACTATCCAGATCTTTAATATTATTCAAAACATATAAAGTTATTAATAAAATAGACATTATGTAGATAGATATTTTAACGTTATTATCGCTGATTTTAACTATCACTACTTATTTAAATTTAAAGAAAAGATGTTTCATATTACATTTTTTTATTGTAGATATTTGTCACTATAAATATTTCATTCAATAAATTCTTATGGCTGTAATGTAAGTACTACATTTCCGATTTTGTAGAATCATGATACTACAAATTTTGAAAATTGAATTTATAAACTTTAATATTAAACATCACGAACATTTATTTTGTTCACGAACATTTATATTTTGATTTCGTGAATATTTTCTCAGCACTATACTGTCTATATGATAAGCCTCGATTTTTAAGATTTTAAATTTTAGAAATTTTAGAATTTATTATTTTCAATTAAATTACAATTTGCGTTTAAAATTATAGTCTGCGCAATTATAATCTACGGAATACGTTTTATAAAATAAAAGGTGATGATTCACAAGCACCGGCATATTACAGTATAAACAATAAAAGCATTGCTAATCAAGGTCACAATGTGCGCAGACGGCGTGTTACAGATAAGGTAAGGGTGGAAATTATCTCAAATCAGGAAATAGAACCGTGAGACTGAGATACATATATGTATACAGTATTTACAAGGTCGACTTTTTCGTGAGACAACTATTTCTCTTATGGTTAATTTTGAGTACAATATGATGCTACAAATTTTGAGTCATTCTTTAATTGGTTAGTTTTTATTCTTCAATTAATAAACATTTTTTTCTGATTAATCAATTAAATAAAAATCTAAAAACTTATAGTTGAAACTTTGGTCGCACTCTTTAACTATCCTTAGAAAAATTTAATATTGTTAAATTTAATATTAATCCAAAACAAAACATGCATTAAAAACGAGACAGAAAACATCTTAAAAATCAAAACATTTTAAAAACATTTTTTTAAAAGACATCTTTTAAAGATCGTCTTATATCATGATTTTGAACTTTATGTTGTCTAATTATTAGATAATTATTTATTATAAGTATTAAAGGTATTGTTGTTGCTTTTAATACTTAAAATAAATAATAATAATAAAGATAATTAATCTCTAACCAATTTAATATTTGCTGTATTAACTTTCTCTAAAAAGATAGATGTGACGTAAAATCGCGCGACAATGTTAAATTTATAACGTCAAAAATCTATAGCGAATCAAAGATTCTTATCTATTGTCTCAAATTCGTATTTAATTTATACACAGATATATGTCCACTACATTTTAGTATCAAAATTTATTAAACTTTATAGTACTAAAAAATTAAAAAATTCAAATTATCTTTTGATCATCTAAGAGAAAGTTTCATTATTTATGATTAACTGATTATTCCATTGGAACTAATTAATCAATCGCCTTTATCATCAATCAGAATGAATCAGAATTGACTAATCACAGTTAATACTTAATTAATCAATTAAATTAATAAAAATGATAAATCTGGTCTTCAGGAACGTTACAAAGATCTAGAATTCTTCCAGATATTCGAGGAAAATATTTAAGATTTAGAACGCTTTTTAAAATAATTGTATGATGTTCTTTACTTCATTTTACCTAAGTTGCAGTTATCCTGGGCTTCCTCACATCGTGAAACCACCCGGATGATCGCCCGACCAGCCAGTTGAACGCAGACTGCCATCGCAACATTTCTCTCGCCTTGCTCCTGCGAGATCTGCTGCACCTCTCCTTCGTTATATGGCGGCCTCATGTTTCTTCACACTTCGTACGATTACAATTGACGGCGACAAGCGCGCAAATATGAATTTCTCTTTCGAATTTATCGTATCGAAAATCAGCACCGATCTTCGTACTCGTCGAAGAATAATTTCTTTTACTGGATTTCTATTGTAATCGCTAACAAAACATTTTATAAGCTTCAATTAAACGGTAGTTAGTCTTTGTGTAAATCGAATCACTGGCAAAGATCTAAATCGTATCCGACAGATCCAAAGATAGAAAGAACTTAACTGAATAGAGAATTTATATAATATATATTTATATAATATATATTTCAACTCAGTTGAGATAATTTCTTTCACATAAAAAATTTTGTCAGGATGAAAATCCGCGCAGATTGGATCTAATGTTCACGAAGGATGTTCTTCTTTGTGAAAATTCCTTTTTTGCAATTTGGAATTCAGAATTTTTTAATTCGAATGAAACCAGAACATGTTTCAGAAGATTATCTGGATTAGAAAAAGATGCAGATTTTCAATTTCTTCACCGAGACACTCGTCTTTCAGGATCTCACACGATTTCATAAAATCTAAGTCATAGAATCCATCTCAAGCACGATTCTGGAGGAATCTTCTCGCGAGCGAACTTCAGCGGAATGTAGATTCAGCTGACTTCCTACGCGATTTGCATAGACTTTACAAATTTTCACTTTACAAATCTTAGTCCGTTTGACGTTCCTGAAGATCACGGCGGCTGAAGTCCGTTTCAGGTGACTCCGTCAACACTGCTTGCATGAGTGTACGCGGTGCTATTTAAGCCTTTGCCACTCTCCCCGCCATCGGGGAAGCGAAACAGCTGACTACTTTATATGTGTGTATACATCCACTCTCCCTCTCTTTGTTTGAAAACAAACGCAGTCAGATGCACTGCACGACATGCAAGCTGTCAAATTCGATGTCGGAATTTCCGCGTTAGAATCACGTTCAAAGTTTTCCTGCTGTTTCAGGGTTTCTTCAAAATCTCTACAAGTCTATTTTGTTTTGACATTCAAAGAAAAATTATCAATTAACAAAACATTTTAGTAATTGTGCAATTTATGCAAATTAAATGTTTTCCATATTAAAATTGTACTGATCGAGATTAGTTTTTGCTTCTTTTCTATCTTTTTAAAATATTTTTAGAATTTTCTTGAGATCATTTTTTTCTTTAGTTCTTTTCTTTAGTTCTCCATTAAAACTTTTGCATTAAAATCATTTGCGCTTTCTTAAAAAACAGAAAACGATTTCTTCAAGAAGAAACTTCGACAATAAAATTGTAAACAAAAAGTTCAAAAAACTAATTTCAATATATAAACTTCTTAAAATCTCTCTCTCTCTCTCTCTCTCTCTCTCTCTCTCTCTCTCTCTCTCTCTCTCTTTCTGTCTTAAAGATTGAAATTTAACAAGTCAACGGATTCAGTTTTAGTTTCATTACACAGAATAATTCATAAATTTTACGGTATCGCAATCACAAACTAACGAAGTAGGTATTGTTGAAGAAAAAAATAAAAAAGATTACACATCGAGACGAAAAAGCTTCAATGTCAGTATTGACGCGCATCGAGCTTTTTGACTGCGCAGTTTTGCGAACAAAGAAATTCCCAAACAAGATTAGCCTCTTTTTGTCATAAACCACTTTATTACTTCTTCTGAAAAAAATTTATTCTTCATATTACAAAAAATATTTTTAAAGTATTCCTGTTCATTACATAAAAATATTATGCTTAATTATTGTTTAAATATATTAAATATAAAAAAAAAATATATATATATATATACAATGCAATATATATATATATATATAATTTTTAAAAAATATAAATGGAAGACATCATAAGAATATGTTAACACAGATGTAATAAGAACAGATGTAATAAGAACTGTGCATTACTTATCTGTCGCTATCAGTTTAAAAAGAGTGAGGTTAAAATATATTGCTTTCGCTCTCTAAAATATCAAGTTAAAGAGAGATGTGCTCTCTCTCTCTCTCTCTCTCTCTCTCTCTCTTTTAAAATTGAAAAAAGATGTTCAATTCTTTCTAATGGAATAGAGAAGCTAAGATCGGAGAATGCGCAGTCCATACCAATAATGTCTTCGGATACTTTGAGTTTATGCTAAGCATTAAATACTTGAAGAAGTACAAAGATACTTTAGTGCACACGGTTATCTGCATATATACGCAAAATTATTCTGAACTAATGTGCGAAATGAAGGTCGATAATATTGTGTAAACTGTGTTGCATGGGGGCAAATTGCCCTGCGCCATTTCAGATATCATTATCTATACTAAAGTATAACATATTATTTTACCTCATTTATTCTAAAATTTATCCTATAAATAATTTATTAAAGGTGCAAGATATAATATTTAAAATTAAAATATTAATTGATATTATTATTTCACAAAAGTGAACCTGGTTTGCAAATATAATTTAAACGGTGCAATAAATGTTTATTGTTTTTATCACGTACTATACCCAGTTTACTATGCACAATTCAATATTTGGGAAATGATAGCAGAGATGTACGTCACTATTTCGCTTTAATAGTAAATTATCGCGAATGTCCAGAAGAATTTGTGAAATTGCCAAAAATGCAATCGCGACACGAATATCGTAGTCACGTTTAATTTTGGCTAAATGACGAAAAAGCTAGAAATCGACTGTTAGATTATTTGATTTTTAGATTTTTAGATGCTGTTAGATATTTTTCATGAATTTATCAAAGAACTATTTTTTTCTTACTTTTTTAGAGGAAAATAGATTTTATAAGTATATTTTTATTTTTTGTCAATAGTCAGTGATATATTATTTAGCTTGTTATAAAATAATAAAATAATAGAATAGTGTTGTTTTATTTTTCTTTTGCTTTTATTTTATTTTTCTTTTATTTTTATTTTTCTTTTTATTTTTCTTTTCTTTATTTTTCTCGTTAATTCTTTAAATGTTTTATTTGTAATTGAAGTCTCATATATTTCTTAAAGAAGACGAAAAACAATGAAGGCACGCTGGTAAAACGAATTTCACCACTGTCTGCAACCCAACTCGAGTGCTTCTTCTTCCTCCGCATTAGAGGACTTTGCTCTTCATTCATTGTGAAGCTCAGTTCTCAACAGGGACAAAATGTTTATACGGTTCCGCGGTATGCTTGGCCAGCAGCCAGAGGATACTGCGTGTACATCTTGTCGACGAAAATAGACAGCCGCGGACCAAAATCCCCCATGACTTCTCTTTCGTCGTTTTTCTCTTCATGCGATGTAGGATATGAAATGACGAGCCAGATCATAGGAGGAGCCAAGGATCCGTGGTGACTCGATCAGTACATTATTCTTGAATTTTTTGATATAATTTTCAATCTTTTTTACATTTCTAGATCTTTCATCTTTTTTTTTAAATATTTTGAATGCATAAATATTTGTAATTTAAAGATATTTATAGATTATTTAGAGTTTAATTGTAATTTTTTTTCTATTTATAAGAAATGCAAATATTAATCTTGACATATCTCAAAATTCTTAGATTCCTGAGCCTTTAAATTTTTAGGAGCTCAAGGAGAGCAAGAAAATCAAAATAATATCAATTTGACATTATTGATCGATTATTGATCGAATTTATGTCATTTGTTTTTTCACGATTCGATCAATATGTTATTAATTTGACTTTCTTGTGTTATTTGATATGAAACTTTTGAATATTTAAATATAATTATTTCATATTCTTTAATTACATATTTTGATATTTTTAAATTAGACATTCTTCAATCATTTAAATATTTTAGATTGATGTTCAAGTTTTTTGATTGCATTATAGTAAAGTATTTCAAATTATAATTGACTTCTTAGCATTTATATCGACATGATGATAGATGTATGCACAGAAGAAAGCGAGTGTCTTTGTAATTTCTACGTAGGCTGGCTGGTTTCCGTTCTTGTCTTTTTCAACGGAGAAGAAACGGGGAAAACACCTCGACTTGCACCCTTGCCAACCAGCGTACATTGGCCCTGCGACATCGTCGCCGCCGACGTCCGTCTGTTCTTTATAACACGCAGTCGCATGTTCTCTCTATTGCGTCTTCAGTTTTTGGTATTTATTGGAAAATTGTCTACGACAGCGACCATGATTTCACAAACACGGCCGGATATATAACAAGCACATGACTCTCTTGTTCTACTACTCCTATCGTGCATTTTCTTCATTTTCATTAAAATTAACATCTAATCGTGCAGATTGAATTTTTGTTGCAATTTTGAGTTTCTTATAAAAATTAATCAAATCAATTTTATATATATATATAAATTGATTTGA